TGTTTTTGTGTGTTTTTTTGTGTGTTTTTGTTGGTGGGGGTGTTTTTGTGTGGGGGGGGGGGGGGGGGGGGGGGGGGGGGGGGGATGGGATGCATACCTGCATGTGAATGCTTCAACTTGAAATTCTCATCACGGAAGGTGCCACCATATGTTGACTGGTTTCCTCTACCATCTCCAGAGACTATATCCCCTCCTTGGATCATAAATCCAGGAATAATACGATGAAATGGCGTTCCCTTGTAGTGGAGAACTTTTCCATTAGCAGACTTACCCATCTCCCCTGATTCCACAAAAAGCAGTTTACGTGAAGGAAATTGATGATAAAGCAGCAATATCTATATCAAAAATTCCAAATAGAAACATTTGAATAATTGAAGAATCTTTGAAGTACCTGTGCACAAAGCCCTGAAATTCTCTGCAAGAAGAAGAGCAAATATTATCGGGCAAAACATCACAAGGTACCATACTATAATTTGAGTATAATAAAACTATCCTACTAATGCTGTTGAACATGAAGATATTCTAGCAGAAGACTGAAGACATACCGACAGTCCTTGGTACAACCTGGCCATATAAACCAATGATGATTCTGCCTGCAGACAATCAGGAGAAAGAGTTTAAATTTAAACAGATGGAATGAGTAACAAGACTCCAAGTTCACAGTCGCTCAAGCATCTGGTGCCACCTGAATATTTCAACCTCTTCAAAGTCTCACACGGAAGGCGAGAGGAAATGGCAGCCAGAAAATTCTAACAATCATTCTTTCTTCCTCCCTTTTTCTCAACTATAATTAGTAGGAATTTTTGACATTTCAAGGGCTTGTCAGCTCATGAGTATGTCTTCTAATAACTTAAACAAGTTCAGATAATATAGTTCTTGAAATGCCACAAGAACACTAGCTATTTCTTAAACTAAAACAAAAACAGATTTTTAAATCAGCTTGTAGTTCTGGTCCCAGAAAAGGAGATGAGGAGGTTCCTGCCAGGTGTATCTAAGTCCTGCTACATTCTACTACTCAAAGATGATTTGACACGACCTTCACTAAAATACTACAGCACCCCCACCACCCCTAAGAAACAGAAGCAAAAAGTATTGATTTGATGTTCTTTTTGGGCATTCTAGTTGATGTTTGAGGAGACTTGAGAAATATCATGACTTACAAAAGTTGTCACTTGCAGTTGAAGAACCTCGTTACGGAAATTTATCTAAAGAAGTGTCAGCAGGTTGGAACATGCCTCGCTATTAGACAACACAATATGGACACAGCAGTCGATCATTCTGGAGTTCTGATTTAGCATGCATAATATACAATCATTTATTTATTTATTTTGATAAATCTATCTACAATAACGAAATGAATCAGAAAAAGAAATGGCAATGGAAAGATTTATCCCATATGTAAAATCAGATCAGTAATTGGCAATAAATTGGAAATGCCTAGATGTCCAAGAATACAAAGGACACATACCTATACGTTGTTTATCTATGTCAACATCCAAAAATACTCTGTGGGTGATTTCATAAACCTCTTCCACCTTCACTTTCTCCTGCAATTTTAAAGAAACCAGTGGTTTTTTAGAAAGAGGAAAACATCAGGATGGTTGAAAACAATCAATTTTTCATGAGAAAATGATCATATGATGGTAGCACATCACGGGAAAAACAAAATAAATAAATAAAAGATGGTACGGGGGATCTTCTTCCCACCATGCCGTAACCAATAGAGCTCTTGTCTTAAGCCTATTCACATTTACTATAGATAACACTGATTCACTTATCTACATCTTCACAGAACCTTGGAAATGCCAAATCCTAACAGATCCTATTTTAAGTCAAAATTTGAGTGGCGGCTCTTGTGCTGCAAATGAGCCAAAGAACATTAGTCTGATGCAATTAATTTAAAAGGGAAAACCCTTTTCTTCCCCCTCTAGTCCAGCTTGGAACAGCATTTTGATCCTTCTGAGGTATCACAGCGAAAGGGTATTGTCTTCCTTCTGGCCTCATACAGTCGTGATTTAAGAGAAATATGGGGATTGTCTTCCTTCTAGCCTCATACAGTCGTGTTTTAAGAGAAATAAGACAACACGAGGGTAAGATGTTTATTGTCTATTCAACTAATAGTTAGTTAATATGTCAAGAAACAAGTTCATGTATACCAAGATTCATTGTACTTCTACTCTTTAGGAAGCCTTGTATGTTGTGCTTGCAAAAGGCTATTTTAAAATGTTATTAGCACCAATTCACATATCACCGAAAAGCTTGTTAAAGTAGAACACCTCCAAGTAAAGATAGGGCAAAGTTATCTTTTTAGCTTACAAATTATTCTAGTACACCCATCAACAATCTCAATACTTTATCCCTTCACACCACCCATCAAACGACATGTCGTTAGTAAAGAAATAATGAGACTCTTGCCAACTTCTAGTAGTGTACTAAAATTGGAGATAGTACATCATTCAGTAATCTCAACGACACACATAAACTTGAGTACCCGATGCAAATATTATAGATCAACACCAAAGGCATATCCAAGAAACTAAATACCTAAAATTTTTCAGAAAGAGCCAACTTAACTATTCATTACACTAAATCACTTCTATCACCATTCCTAAATTAGATCAACGCAGCAGTATTCTTCCCTACATTTATTGTTTTTAACTTTTTCAGTTCGGTTCACATAATCACATGATTGAGCTGAGAAAACTTCAGCAATCACGAGTTCAACAACGAAAAACTTCAAAAGAGCACTTTCTTTCAGACAATCGACTCACGGATTACAACTCAAACCCATCAAACGTTGCAAATCAACAAGAACTAAGACCTTAAATTATAAAGTTGTCCACATCCAGAGGGCACAATCAGATCGAAGACAAACATTCGCCAATCCAAATTTCAACTCAAGAATACATTCATAGAATTCCAATAAATTCTTTTGGTGAGAAAAATAGAGAAATTAATACGAGAATCAAATGGGAGCAGTAAGAGAGAAAAAAATAGTACCCATTGAGAGAAGGAAAACGCAAAAACGATCAGAACAAGAGCCATCGCGAACATCGCGATGTACCGCGGTTGAAGCATTCCCGAGATCTCTCTACTCATCTCTTCCTTCTATCTTATTTACTCAATCAATCAGCATTTTCAACTCTTATGCCATTGATCGTTTATGCTTCGTGAATTATAATTCTACTACCAGAATTCATCCGCAATTAACAATCAAGAACAGTGTAACTGAGTTGATATTTTCCACACTAGTTTTTGCTTAGGGGTAAGGATTGTAAATTCTGATCTGTTTGCAATTGGGGGAAAAGAATTTTCTATTGTTCATTCTTACGGTGACGATCAGTCTTCAAAAATCTCTGCTTTTTCATGGAAATTTTGTGATTTCTCTTTTTAGAATTAAAAATAAGTTATTTGATTAATGGGTTGTTTCTTTTCAAAAAAGTGCATTTCAAGGTAGTGCTACGACGAAGAATGTGTAATTAAAAAGTAAAAAAAAAAAAAGATTTGTGTGTAATATTATTTTTTTGAAGAATATGTGATTGAAATGGTATCAAATTAATATTTAAGAATGTATTTTAATGAAAAAAATGGAATTCAAACAAGCGTTAAATTTTAGAACTTATTTGATACCCATTATTTCAAAAATACATATTTCTCTCTCTTTATTTTATTTTTTCAATCACATATTCTTCAATAAAATAATATTACACGCAAATTCAATTTTTTTTTAAATTTTTAACCACACATTCCGTATCAATCTGTAATTCAAAAATACATTCTAAGGCCTACTTGAGCCCCATTATGTCCTAATAATGCTTTTGGAATAGTTGATTGATGAAGAACGTGATTAAAAAATAAAAATTTGCGTATAAGTATAATATTATTTTCTTGAAGAATCTATAGTTGAAAAAAAGAAAGAGAAAAATATATTTCGAAAAGAATGGGGATCAAACAAGAACGTAAAAAATGGAGCTCAAACAAGATATTAGAGTACTCATAAGTAGCGAGTCCAAAAGAATATATGAGTGAGAAAATAACTAAAGTTATGATTCCTTTAAAATGTACGGATAAAAGTAGAGTTTGATCAATTTATAAGTAATTACAAATTATACCTAACAAGCACACAATATTAAAAAATAAACTACATACTCAAGCTATTAAATGCAAATTTAGCTTCGGAAAGAGATTGGTACCCTAGCTTGTTATTACATACAGCATGTCTAGCTCTCGAGGCACTGCACTTCGAGGCAGCATTCTCCTCATTCTTAAGTTGGAAAGCCCAAAACAATTAATAGTCAACACACACTCTTATGAGTAGGAAGTTAGATAATACTAGCATATGATGGCATCATAGTGCAATATTCAATAATATAGGTCATACGTTGAAACTGTTGATGATCATTATTCTACAATTTAGAGAGAGGAGCACTCTCGGTATGCGACATTCTCCTCCTATTCAATTTGCTAACGCCCTCGTAGCAATAAGTGAGCTTCACATCAATGTTGTTCCTTTCATTGCTTGAATAGTTGTGGCTTTATCCCCTCATGGGTGAGCACCCACACAGTGCTCAATCGCACATGTATCTCCAGTAACTTTGTACATAATGCATCCGACTTCAACTTTCACCATATGCCCCTCAAGCAGTAGTTCCTCAAATGGACAGCCTCTATCGTAGTTAATTGCGCATGTCTAAGCACCAACACTATCTCCATTTGGGGAAAAATCAAGAAAAATGTGATTAAATTTCTTGGACAGCCTTATGAGGTGGTTGATCAACATGGATAGCTTCTTTTAAGTTATGTTTGGCTCTATTTTCTAAACTTCGTTTTTGTTCAAACTCATTTTTTAATCATACATTAAATGTTTAACCATCACAAACTTACGGCATTTAGCCCTTGTTTTAGCCACATTATTTTCATAAAAATGCACTTTTGAACAGTGTATTGATGGAAAATGTGTAATTAAAAATTAAGGAAAAATTTCGAATTTGCGTGTAATATTATTTTATTGAAAACGTGTAGTTAAAATGATATTAAATCACTATTTAATAATGTATTTTTTTTGAAAGAATATAGGTCAAACAGAGCCTTAATAGTCTCATGAAACTCATTAGAAAATTCAACAGGTAAGGAGGGCTTATCAACTTTTAATTAATCGGGGAGACCTAAGGCTATTCTATTCCGTTCCAAGAGAATAAATACTCCCTCCGTCCCAATTATATGGGCTGAGTTTTCTTATTTTCTTGTCCCAAATATATAGTCCTATTTCTTTATTTGGAATGTTTTGTTTTTTATGTTTACTATTATACCCTTATTTAATATGCCTAGTTATAATAAAAAGAGATTTTCCACTTCTTGGAAATATTGACAAAAAAAACTCTCTTTTCATCTTCTTCTACTTGTGATTCTCCCACTTCGTTTCCTTCGCTATTTCTCTTCACTAAATATGCTTCCAATAAAATACATTTCTCATTTCTTATCTTCAGAAAAACACTTTCACGAAAACACATTCACACGCACTGCCCCCCTAATTCTCTACACATGTGATTCTCTGCAAATGTAATTCTCTAAAATCTGTGTCTAAACTATGAGTGCAAAATCTAAAAATCATCCACATTCCATCGAAGATACCTGCACAACAATGTTTAGAAATGAACTCGACTTGAAAAAAATGATGAGGCCATTGCTTGATTTGAATGCTCTACCGATTGAAGACGGTTATATTTCTGCTTCTCAAGAGTATCAACGTGTTGTCTCTCGGATGATCAAAATCTATCTACCCAAAATCTACGAAGACCAAATTGATGCTCTTGATGATAAACTCGATACTGATATCAAGAAATAGTCGAGGCCCATTGCATAACCATGAATCTGTATGTCGTGATGCCACAATTTTTTTTTTATTTTTACAACAATTTAGTGACAAGGATTAATCTGTTTCAATGCCAATGTTAACAGCAATTTAATCTAGATGTTTTTGCCATGAAAGTGGATTAAATTTAAAGCAACGTAATCTGGGTCCCTTTTTTTTATATAGTGAATTGAATTCTAGTTTGGAGTAAGTTTTTTACATCAACTTACAGCAAGTTTTTTATGCACGGATGTTGACATCATGGTATAGAGTAAAACAATTAAAGCTCCCTCTTGTATATTCATTGATCAATGAGAAACTACAAACACAAATCTGCAAAGTTACCCAATTGAGTTAAGAGCTGCCTTTATCGTGACTAAAACTTCGGAGTCAAGCTGAATGCAATTAGGTAGTTGCCCATTTCTAATCAATTTTTGTTTGTTCGTATGTGGAATTTTATAATTGTTACCCCCCAAATTTTTCATCACCTCGATCATGCATGATTGCAATGTCAAAAACACGTTGTTCAAATCTTCAGTTGGAAATTTCTCAAAAGCAGTCTCCACTGCTAAAACAAAGTCTTCAATTGTAGTTGGAGCCTCTTGATGTTGAAGTGAATCAATGGCTATAAAAAACCAAGGTCTAAGACATTCATATCGGGGTTGTTTGGAGGTTGACAACATAAATGAATATCGAATCCATCCTTTCTCACTGCTTCTACGAAACTAATATCGTCAACATCCAAATGTGGTTTTGCATTGTCTTGTTGAATGAAGATGGTCCTAGAACTTGAACATGGCCATTTTTGTTTGATTGCAGGCAACAAATTTTCAATTATACATGATTGGATGATATCTTTAGTTACCGACACAATAGGCTTCGATTCCAAAGTCCCGGCTACACGATTTTTACTATTCCACTTCGCTGGTTCCTTAGACACAAATGGCCATATTCCAATTTTTCTGTCGAATTCTTCGCTTGTAGTAGCATCAAATCGTGGACGAGCAACGGCAGCCAAAAACATTATCTTTGTAATAAAATCTTTTACTTTTACATGTACGAAAGGGCTCCGTTTCATTGGGGTGGAGATAATACTTTTGTGATGTCTTAGACATATAAGATCACTTTTCATCAATATGAATTTGATTATGCATGTTAACAAAAGTAGGTGTAGATGTGAGGGTACCTTCATCTACCATTGATAGGCAAAATTCTAACCTTGCTTTCTTGTTCTCATCCAACAAATATGGGTTCACAGGATTTGAATGTGGCCGAATATGTCCTTCTTTGACTCTCCTATGTACGGATGATTTTGACATATTCAAAGCCTTCGATAAAGATCTTATATTTGTTCGACGACGGAAAGGGATATCCTTCATTTGTTCGAAATCAATTTCGACTCTTTTTCGACATCTCCTATTCAATAGCTTGGAAGAGAAATCTAGTACATCAATATTTGACGTACTAAAATATTTTCCTTCATGCCAAATTCTAGAAACTGATCTAGTAGATATAGAAAAGGAGTTGGCAACTTTCGAAATGGTTTCTTTTGCTAACTTTCCATCTTTTCTTTCATGGAATAGCATCTCAAAAACAGCTCTTTTTTCATCACATGAGAAGTTTTTCTTCTTAGTTGGATGACACATATTGTTAGCTACTATGTCGGTAGTGCAAAAAGAGTCAACATCTTCTAGGAATTGATTCAAATCAAACTGAAAATTTTGTGGAACAGGTGAATAGTTATCATCTAGTGAAGGAATGTTTTCTGGCGAAAAATTCAAATAAACGGAAATAGTTCTTGATGTACTACTTATTTTTACTTGTGATTAAATCTATCTACATATCTCTATTTATAATGTGCAGTGAAAAAATTTGAAAACAATAAGTTGGCGGACTTGCAAATCGAAAATTTAAATTCCGCTTTTTGTGGTGGTAAGTAAAAGTTTTTATCTAAAGTTTAAATTCTAGTTTTTGTTTAATTTGTTTCAAAAGTTCAAATTGTGGTTCCAGTGAATCTCATCAACATAATTAACTACTTTCAACAATAATTTACTACTACTAATTGTTGAAAAATAAATAGGGGTAAATTAGGAAAGTTTTTGACAAAAATTACATTTTCAATAACATTAAATAAGATTTTTTAATTCGTGTGAAAAACCAAACCAGCCCATATAATTGGGACGGAGGGTGTAATTGTTTTCACGATCAATTTTGTAGCTTTACCCTATTTGATAGGGATTAAAATTAGATTTTTAGTATATTATAAAATTTGATGACATGTGTGGTTGAAAAATTGTGATATCCATAAAATATATTGTTAATTTTAAGATTTTAATCGGCAAACAGGGAAAGTCCTTGTTTGTTTTTGCTAAAAATCATATTTTTAATAAAAATTAATAAAATATGAAAGTTATGGATCCCAATAAATATGTTATTAAAATTAATTATTACTTGAACCTAAATTTTTATCGATCTTTTAGTTAAATCAAACGGATAGTCAAGCTGGCGAACGGATCGTGGTCATGTTC